TGAGTAACATTTAACTCAACATTCCTGTTTTCGTTCTTCAATGAAACAAATAATTGTTCAATAAAATAATTAAAACTTGTTCTGTTCTACTTAAAAAAACTTAACTTCCCATGGAAACTTTCCGGAAACTTTCCGCCCCTTTGCAACCCTACTGGCACAGCCCTGTCCTGGTTCACATCCTACCTCCATAACAGGGAACAGTTTGTAACCATTAATGGCTCAAATTCACCCCCGGCCCCAGCCAATCACGGTGTACCCCAGGGCTCTGTGCTTGGCCGTGATGTCATCCGACATCATGGACTCAATTTCCACTGTTACGCTGATGATACCCAACTGTATCTCAGCACTACTCCATCCTCCCAGCTCCCCCCCCAGTCTCTCATTAACTGCCTGCACGACATAAAAACCTGGATGTCGTCCAACTATCTCAACCTCAACAGCAGGAAAACAGAGCTCATGGTTGTGGCACCCAAGGCGCTGCTCCGGAAGGTTGGTGACTTCATCCTCGAGGTTGACGACTGCTCTCCATCTCCTGAAGCCTGCAACCTGGGTGTCCTCCTCGACTCCACCCTTTCCCTCCACTCCCATGTCAAGTCTGTGACCAAATCGGCCTTTTTCCATCTCAGGAACATTGCCAGACTCCGACCGTCACTCTCGGAGTCGGTTGCAGAAACCCTAGTCCATGCTTTCGTCACCTCCCGCTTGGACTACTGCAATGGTGTCCTGTTTGGGGTCCCAAAAAAACCTGGACAGGCTCCAGTATGTCCAAAACTGTGCTGCTAGGTTACTCACACATACAAAGCCGTGGCAGCACATCACCCCCACCCTCATCCACCTCCACTGGCTGCCGGTCAAGTCCCGCATCACTCACAAAGTCTTCCTCCTCACCTACAAGTCCCTCCATGCCCATGCCCCTCAGAACCTATCGGACATCCTTCGTCCGCATGCCCCACCCCGGAACCTGCGGTCTTCACACTCTGGCCTGCATACCACCCCCCACACCAACCTGCAAACCTTCGGGGACAGAGCATTCAGTGTGGCTGCCCCCACCCTCTGGAACGCTCTCCCTGTGGAGATCCACAACATCCCCACGCTTGACGCCTTCAAAAGGGCCCTCAAGTCCCAACTGTGTGCTAAGGCCTTTGGCCCCTAATTGATTTGTTGTTTTGTCTGTCTGACTGTTTGTCTGACTACCTTTTGTTATGTATGTTTCTACTCCTGTTCTTCTGTAAAGGGACCTTGGGTCTCATGAAAGGCGCTATATAAATCCAAGCTATTATTATTATTATAGAGCAAATAAAACAGATAAAATAGTGCAAGAACATAGTCATAGTCCTAAACATTTAATTAAATGGCTATAGTTATGTCTATAATGTATAAATGGCTATCATTTAATTAAAAGACAGTTTGCAGGATCAAACCATTAAATTATAGCCATTTGATTACATGTTTATGACTCTGACTCTATGTTTTGAGATGTGCAAGTAAATACAAATCAAATATAAATAGTGCATTATGTGTATCGGATGCATTGGGAGGCAAACACACACACATATGCACACACTCCCCATTAAAAAACCCAAACACTGAAGCCTTATGGGATAAACAAGAAGCAGCCAGTGTGCCTTTGAGCGAGGGAGGAAGATGTTAGGAGGAAAATATCGTCTTTGATCTGATGATATCTGCGGCTCGGGCTAAGTTGCCATGAAGGATGAACAAAACAAGAGTGTTTGTCAAACATGATTCTGCTTTCGTCTCGGTGACGCTCCGGGACTGTACAAGCTGAGAGGAAGGTGGTAACTTCACATCTTTATCTGCAGTGTGACATAAAGGTTCTCTGCTTTGTTGAAAAAGCTCTTTACAGAATCTCTGCTGACGGATCAGTGTTAGACAGCAGCAGATTACCTGTTACACCTGGAGGGTTTGATATTATAATGAAGCATTTGTACAGTGTTTGAGAGACTCTCCTCTGCTGCCTCTCAGCCTCTGACTGATGCAGTTATTGAATACACTGATGCAGGAATGTCTTGAGTAACTGAAAAGAGCCATCCTGCATAATACCTATTTTTACTTTTGATAATATAACATTTTGATGATAAACACTGTTCATTCATAAGCCTGAGCTTTTTCAGAATTCTGATTTTTGTTTTCTGACTTTCTTCATACTGTAATCCTGACTTTTTCTTCATAATCCTGACTTTTTTCAGATTTGTATTTTTTCCCAAATTGTTTTCAAAATTCTGACTTTTTTTTCGAATTTCCTCAGAATTCCGTTTTTTTTGTTTTATAACTATTTCCAAAATTCTTGCCCTTTTTTTAAAGTCAGACCATTTTCTGAAATCCGCATTTTTCCTCAAAACTCTGACTTTAACTACGATTCTGTGAAAAGAGCCATCCTGCATAATACCTATTTTTACTTTTGATAATATAACATTTTGATGATATAAACACTGTTCATTCGTAAGCCTGAGCTTTTTCAGAATTGTGATTTTTGATTTCTGACTTTCTTCATAATCCTGATTTATTTTTCATAATCCTGACTTTTTTCAGAATGTTCTCAGATTTGTATTTTTTCGCAAATTGTTTTCAAAATTCTGACTTTTTTTCGAATTTCCTCCGATTTGCGTTTTTTTTTGTTTTATAACTTTTTTCAAAATTCTTACCCTTCTTTTAAAGTCAGAACATTTTCTGAAATCCGCATTTTTCCTCAAAATTCAGACTTTAACAACTAACTACGATTCTGTGAAAAGAGCCATTGTGCATGTTACGTTCCCTTCTAAATCTAGGGGGTACAAAGGGAAGTAACAACACACAAGGATGACCAAGCACGACAAAAAAGGAGAGAAAACCGATCTCTGAGTAACGAACAAGTCGTTTAATGAACAAGACAGGAACAGGGGCTCACCAGCCCACTTGCACAGAATACTACAGCATCGATATATCACGGAGCTCCCCTCCTATCAATCGGCAAGACACAGGTCTGCACACATGCAGCCAGAGGAGGAAAAAAGGAGACCCCACTGCAGTCTTCCTCCGGTCCTATATGGAGGCCCTGATTTGGAATTAGGAGCACCTGGGGAGAGGCTACACCTGGGGACAATCAGGCTGCATCTGGGGAGAGGCTGCACCTGGGGAGAGGCTGCACCTGGGGAGTCAGAGGGAGAGAGAGAAAAACACACACACGACCACACAAACACTACGGCACGTAACAGTGCATAATGCGTATTTTTACTTTTGATAATATAACACCATTTCAATGATATATAGACATTGTTAACAATATTAAATAGCAACATGGTCAACCTTCATTACAGTGTAGGGGTCTCAAATGTTGTATTTAAATTCCAAATGGACTAAAACAGAACCTCCTAAACGCATTGCTGTCGTATCTCACAGAAATCTTACCTACTTGCACGTCAAAAGAGAAGAGCAACTCCAGCCTGGACAAACACACACACAAGCAGCGGAGTTTCTTTGTGTGTGTCGCTGGTTGCCAAATTTGCAGTGAAACACAACACATTCCCCTCTTGCATGTACAGTAGCCTAACCCTGTAGCAATTCAAGAAAAAGCTGCATGTATATTTAAAAGATATTTAATTCTGATGACTTCATGCTTTGCATTGTAGTCTGATGGACCAACAACTATGAATACATCCCAGTGTGTGAAAAAACATCCACTTTCACAAGCTTTGTCTGCCTGGGTCTGTTTTAACCTGAGCTGTCCTTGGATGCATCCCATACACACACACACGTCACACACACACACACACACACACACACACACCTGGAACACCCTGCAGGTTTAGCACTCAGCAGTCACGCGGATTAACTTAAAAAATATCCTCTCACCCCGTTATCCTCTCATGGCCTCAGAGCTTCTGTTTCTCTCTCTTCCCCGTTCCCTTCCTCCCCTCCTCGTCGTTCCCTTCATCCCTTCCTCCCCTCCTCATTCCCTTCCTCCCCTCCTCGTTGTTCCCTTCCTCCTCTCCTCGTTGATCCCTTCCTCCCTTCTTTGTTCCCTTCCTCCCCTCCTCGTCGTTCCCTTCCTCCCTTCCTCCCCTCCTCATTCCCTTCCTCGCCTCCTCGTTGTTCCCTTCCTCCCTTCCTCCCCTCCTCATTCCCTTCCTCGCCTCCTCGTCGTTCCCTTCCTCCCTTCCTCCCCTCCTCATTCCCTTCCTCCCCTCCTCGTTGTTCCCTTCCTCCTCTCCTCGTTGATCCCTTCCTCCCTTCTTTGTTCCCTTCCTCCCCTCCTAGTCGTTCCCTTCCTCCCCTCCTCGTCGTTCCCTTCCTCCCTTCCTCCCCTCCTCATTCCCTTCCTCCCCTCCTCGTTGTTCCCTTGCTCCTCTCCTCGTTGTTCCCTTCCTCCCTTCCTTGTTCCCTTCCTCCCCTCCTCGTTGTTCCCTTCCTGCCCCATCAGGAGGGAGAGACAAGGTGACCCAGTGTGACTCCCGCTGTCCGTCCAGATGTTGAATCACTGATCGTCGGCCATTGTGTCTCTCTGACAAAGCTTTCAGAAATGATTAAGGCTCTGATAGAACACGCTGATTTAGAGGCGGCCTCATGCTCTATTGATCCAACGCTAGTATGTCTAAGTAAATGTCATTGTGACACAGTTATAAAACCTTTATGTGCGGTACACACACGTGCTGTTGTTGTCCTTGCTTAAAGGTCTTTGAGCAAATCCTCCTCCACTGTAGTGTCATTTATCTAGCTGACTCAAGGACATCGGCTCGCATGTTTTTACTTTCATAACTCTGATTCATGTTTTCATTAAAAAAATTAGACACAGTAAAAGTTTTATTTGGAATTGGCCTCCTTACAAAAATAAACCATACATTGAAATCCCAACAAAGAACTTTATTACTAACACATGCAACCAAAGGGATTATTTGACCGCCTTTTGACACCAGCAGTAATGTTGTTGTGTCTCCGTATAGATTAGTTTTATCCGTGTTTATGTGTTTTTCCTCACCTCCCTTTCTCTATCTTTCTGTCCCTAGACAACCTGTTAATTGATTACCAGTTCACCTTCAGTTTGCTTCAGGAAGACGACCGTCACTACACCAGCATCAACTTCATGGCTACACCTGAACAGGTAACACAGCAGGGCATTGGTACCTATCATTTTCAATGTTTGTTTGTACTTGTATGACATTTTCTTAATCATTTTTTTTCCAGATCTTTTTTACCTCAGTATTCTGACTTAAAAAAAAATAATTGTGACTCTGTTGCTAATATTATGAAATGTTTCTAAATCAGATTTTAAGCTAGAATTCTTTTTTTTTCTTTCTGACTTTCTTTTAAAAAATGTACTTTTTTCAAAATTCTGACTTTTTTTAAATATAGATTTTAAGGTTAGAATTCTTTTTTCTGACTTTATTTTCCAACAAAATTGACTTTTTTCTCAAAACTCTGACTGTATTCAGATTTCAGAATTTTTCAGAATTCTGAAATTTTTCGACTTTTTTTTCAAAATTCGGACTTTTTTTCAGAATTCAGACTTTTTTCAAAATTCGGACATTTTTTCTAAAATTCAGACTTTTTTCTAAAATTTGGACTTTTTTCTGAAAATGCTGATTTTTTTTTTTATAAATCCGACTTTTTCAGACAATTCTGACTTTTTTTTAAACTTCTGACTTTTTTTGAAATTCTGACTTTTTTTTCAAAAGTCTGACTTTTTTTCATGACTAAAGGAAAATTCACTTCTGATAAAAAATGGTACATACCCTCTTACATGTACGTTAAAGAACTACATACTGTATACATGACATGTCAAATGAAAGCCTCTAACTTCTTGTTACATTCAATCCAGGGTACAACAGTAAGTATTTCCTAACAGATACGTCTCAGTATCAAACATTTATGACGCAATAATTACATTACATTTAGCTGACGCTTTTATCCAAAGCGACTTACAATAAGTGCGTTCGACCAACAAAATACAACCTTGAAGAAAACAGAATCATAAAGTACATCAGGTTTCATAGAGCCAAACATTTCAAGTGCTACTCAACTGGCTTAGGTAAGCCAGTCCTTTATTAGTATATAAGTGCTTCGTTAATAGTTCTATCGCTCGAAGTGGAGTCGAAAGAGATGAGTTTTCAGTCTGGAAGGTGTGTAAGCTATCTGCTGTCCTAATGTCAATGGGGAGCTCATTCCACCATCTTGGAGCCAGGATAGCAAACCCACGTGTTTTTGCTGATGGGAACTTGGGTCCCCCTCGCAGCGAGGGTGCAGCGAGTCGTTTGGCTGATGCAGAGCAGAGTGCACGCGCTGGGGTGTACGGTTTAACCATGTCCTGGATGTAGGAAGGGCCAGATCCATTCGCAGCATGGTAAGCAAGTACCAGTGTCTTGAAGTGGATTCTAGCAGTTACCGGAAGCCAGTGAAGGGAGCGGAGGAGCGGAGTGGTGTGGGAGAATTTAGGAAGGTTGAAGACCAGACGAGCCGCTGCATTCTGGATGAGCTGCAGAGGTCGGATGGCACATGCAGGTAGACCAGCCAGGAGGGAGTTGCAGTAGTCTAGGCGTGAGATGACGAGAGCCTGGACCAGAACCTGAGTCGCTTTCTGTGTCAGCTGGGGACGCATCCTCCTGATGTTGTAAAGCGTGTATCTGCAGCAGCGGGTTGTAGCAGCGATGTTTGCAGTGAAGGACAGGTTGTTATCTAGGGTCACACCCAGATTCCTTGCAGTCTGAGTCGGGGAAACAACTGAGGTGCCGATGTTGATTGTTAGGTCAAGAGTGGGACAATCTTTTCCCGGAAGGAAAAGCAGCTCAGTCTTGTCAAGGTTGAGCTTGAGGTGATGAGCAGACATCCACTGAGAGATGTCAGCTAGACAAGCAGAGATGCGTGCAACGACCTGGGTCTCTGAGCGGGGAAAGGACAGAATTAGTTGGGTGTCATCAGCGTAGCAGTGGTAAGAAAAACCATGCGGGTTAATGACTGATCCGAGCGAGTTTGTGTACAAGGAGAAGAGGAGGGGACCAAGAACAGAGCCCTGAGGGACCCCTGTAGTTAATTGACAAGGGTCGGACTCGGACCCTCTCCAAGTAACCCTGTAGGTGCGGTCTTTGAGGTATGAGGTGAGGAGGGAAAGTGCAGAGCCTGAAACTCCAAGTTCTTGGAGAGTGTGAAGGAGGATCTGATGGTTCACCGTGTCGAATGCAGCAGACAGGTCCAAAAGGATGATGACAGAGGAGAGGGAGGCTGCTTTAGCCGTGTGCAGTTCCTCAGTGACAGCAAGGAGAGCAGTTTCTGTGGAGTGACCTGCCTTGAAACCAGACTGGTGCGGATCCAGAAGGTTTTTCTGATGGAGATAACAGGAGAGTTGTTTAAAGACAGCGCGTTCAAGTGATTTAGACAGGAACGGGAGGAGAGAGACAGGCCTGTAGTTTATAACATCAGACGGGTTGAGAGTGGGTTTCTTTAGGAGAGGGTTTACTCTTGCCTCCTTGAGACTGTTTGGAAAGTGACCAGAAGTTAGAGAAGTGTTGATGAAATGGGTGAGAAACGGTAGAATATCAGGAGCGATAGTCTGAAGGAGGTTTGAAGGGATAGGGTCCAGAGGACAGGTGGTAGGGCGGGCAGAGGTAATGAGGGTAAGAACCTCACTTGGAGAGAGAGGGGAAAAGGAGGTTAGTGTGTGGGTGGAAGGAGGGTCTGGTGACCCAGCGGTGAGTAAAGGTGAGTCAGAAAAAGAAGAGCGAATATCATCAACCTTTTTTTCAAAGTGGGTAACAAAGTCGCTTGACAGAAGTGAGGAGGGGGGAGGAGCTTTGGGAGGGTCCAGGAGGGAGGAGAAGATGGAAAATAGTTTTTTAGGATTGGAATAGGAAGCTTGGATCTTATCTTGAAAGAAAGTGCTTTTTGCCTGAGAGATCGAAGCAGAGAAAGAGGAGAGGAGAGCCTGATAGGTTAGGAGGTCGTCACGGTGTTTGGATTTCCACCGTTTCCGCTCTGCTGCCCTAAGGACGGTTCTATTAGCACGCAGTGCATCATTTAGCCAGGGAGCAGGAGGGGACTGACGAGCCTGCCGAGATGTGAGAGGACAGAGAGAGTCCAGAGAGGATGAGAGAGTAGAGAGGAGAGTTTCTGCAGCAGAGTTTGGAGGCAGGAGTTGGAACGAGTCAGAGGAAGGGAGGGCTGAGAGCCAAACATCGAGCAACAAATGGTTGTTTTTTCATAGTTTTAAAGGTTTTGTTGCAATACTTAGATGCACAGAGACATGATCACAGGACACCAAGGCCTGTACATGTAGCAGGACATCATGTGTTCACACAAAGTTTGCTAATGTAAGATGTAGAAGTGTTTTTTGTGTAATCTGCTGTCAACACTAAGAGACATCTACATTCTCAAGATGTGTCTGGCCTGTTTTCCCTCCTCTGAGCCCGAAGGTGTGTGCAGATGCAACTCAGAGTTGAATTTCGGGGCAGCATTGCAGACAAAATCAATCGAACGGTGCCAAGAGGGGTCAATAGATTCAGAAACGCTCCAAGGTGATACGAGTGGAAGCGGAGACGGAGAAGCTAAAGTTAAAAATGTGTTTGCAGAGAAATCCCCCGCTGGGCTTCGTGAATACACGAGAAACTGCAGAAAAGGTCTGGAGGAAAACAAGTTAAACTGTGTATACTGTCAGGAAGTTGTCCATCAGCTAAGAACTCAATACAGCGGTCAATACAAATAAGACAGAACGAATTATCTTTGAGTCTGAATGTATCTCAAGCCTTTTTTTCCCTGTGTCCAACTTTAATCCACTCTTCATGCAGCTCAGTGATACCCCAATGCTAAGCATCTTTTGACGTCCATCTAATTGAATCTAATCATGATTCCTGTAGCACACAACAGATGCACCAAAGACAGAAAATAGTTAGAAAATAGGTAAAGATGTTACAGTGTGTGTGAGTTTACGTAGAGTGCCAGTGACGCTCCTAAAACCCAGAAGTAAACTCCTTCCGGTTCCTTCGACAAAAACGCAATGTGATTTCTCCATAGGATTTTGGAAAATAGCTGGAAATAAGGTCTGTGTTTGAAACACATTTAAGAGACGGGACACGTTTTGTTCAGTCGGATAATCTCCACATGTCTATCCTACTTTTATCATTTTCTAATCATAAATCTAGTCGCCAGAAGCAAAATGCTAACGTTATGCTATAAAGGAACTACAGCCGGCTTCAACGTCACGCCAACTTCAGATCCATATTCAAACACACAGACTCTAAATGGAACGAGTTGAAGCGTTTGTTTGAACAGTCTGCAGGAGGCAGGGACTTGCTTTCAAGCAGAACAGAAACTAACTTAGAGGAGTGTTCACGTGTTCGGCGTAATGACGTACAACGTCCTGGACAACTTCTGTAGTCCTATTCATCGACTTGGTAACAACCATCGATTTTCAGACACGTTGTTATGAACCCACTAGGGATGAGGAAGGCAACACACACCAGAATGGAATTGGTAATTAATTATAATAGGGTTTAATGGGATAACAAACAGGTGTACAACAAAAGGAGGGCAAATATAGCCTAAGCCAAACTAAAGTAACAGGAGGACTCTAAAGGTGAGCCTAAATCCACACCTGACTACTAATCACTGCTAATGGGAGAGGTCGCAGGGAAATGCAGCTACACAGGGAAACCAAAACACGCTACTCTAACACATATCTAAACACACTACTCTAAACACCTATAACACACAACACTAACCACGGATCACACAAGTTCTGACAGTCTAACGTGTCCACGACACAGGAGCAAAAAGAGTGAGGCGTCTGACCGCAGCAGAGCCTCCCGAGTGATAGGTGCCCCCAGGCTTTGTAGTCATCTCCGGAAGGTGTGCGCTGGGGCTGCACGGGGATTGGAGTGCGTCGGGCCCGGCGTGCTCCAATCAGTGTCCTCGGAGGCGGACCAGGAGATGGCAGCCAATGACGTTGGGGCAACTACACAGCTCATTTACATATATATACAGAAAACAGAATTACAAGGACCGGAGAGGCGACAGCCGTCAACTCTTCAGAAATCACCAGCGGGGTCACTGCTGATGGATTTAATGTCGTAGAACAAAACGTGATCCGTCTCTTCAATGTGTCTCAACCACGGACCTTATTTCCAGATATTCTCCTAAACCCTACGGAGAGATTGCGTTGCTTTTTGGCGAAGGAACCGGAAGTGGTAAAAATGCTAACTTACTTCCGGGTTTTAGGATGCGTCACTGCGGCACTCTATTGTGTGTTACTTTGACTCTTCGGTTTGTAAACAATTCATTGTATTTGGGATCGGTCGGGCTCCATACTAAAGCTCATATTAACAGTTAATAATAACTTTTGTTGGCCTACTTTTGGTTTTCCTTTGTCCAACTTTGATCCACTCTTCATCCAGTTCAGTGATCCGACCCTACGTGTGTTTGTGTCTCTTTTTTAGGCAAACAAGAACCTCGACATGTCCATCAACGCCTCCAACAACTTTAACCTCAACATCACCTGGTCCCTAAGCTCAACAGGTAGAAGACATATTGTATTTATACTTACACCTGCTTTATATTTTATTTAACCCTTGTGTTGTGTTCGAAAGCTGTTACAGTTTTTTTATCAATTTTGACCCATGATTTATCTCAGTCCAAAACTCAAAAAAATAATGACTATCATCCAATATTGTTTTAACTACATCATAACTAACTTATTATGCATTCATAACCGTACAATCCTGTTGTAATTTAATGTTATGGCCCCAAAAAACATTACACCACATATTTAAGTAAAACATGTGATTCAATTCACTCATTATAATTCCTATAGTGAAGACAGTGGATCATTACGTTATCTGACTATAATAGACTAATATTAGAATACAATCTCCCCCAAAAAGTTTTTAATTATTGTTACAGTGGATGAAGGGGGGGGAGGGGTGTCTAAAGTCAAAGATGAATCTTGATTGGGCCCAATTTGACCCTGAGTCACCCAAAACAATTCTGCTGGGTCTCCCCCGACCCCAACACCAAATTATACACTTTTTTTTTTAGAGACCTTCAGACTTGGCTAAAATTATCAAAATCTGTTTTGTAGTGTTTATATAGCTGCTGTGGAATATATCATGAAGCCTCGTTCCCATAAAAATAACTAGAGCGCAAACATTTCTCAAATTGGGATCAATAAAGTTATTTTCTTATCTTAAACATACAGTATGGCAAAAGTAAGTGATTTGACTTATTTCGGCTGATTAGACTATGGCCTTTGTTGGCTTGTCTGCAATTAATTAATCATTGGGTTGATTAATGTGCTAATTATTTTCTTCAGCAGCCCCAAAAAGGTCAGGTTTGTACTGTTGTGTAATAAACAGTTGATCACTGGAAAGTTAAAAGTTCACTATCGCATAAAAAGGAACAAAGCTTTAAACGAAAATAAGCTGGTACCATGTTTAGCATCTTATTGATCACTTATCAAAGAAGTTGCATGTTAAGAATCATTTCAGCTCTAATTGACGTCCATCTAAGGCAGGGGGGTCAAACTCAAATACACAGTGGGCCAAAATTTAAAAAATGGGTACTAGTCGAGGGCTGGACTGGTTCAATGTTCATTGCAGAACTTATTGAAATGAACTTATTGCACATATTAAACCTGGAACTAACAAAGCTTAAATTATTGCCTATAAAAACAACATTGAACATTAACGGGGACCTATCATGCAAAATGCACTTTTGTACGTCTTTTATACATGAATGTGTGTCCCCGGTGTGTCAGGGAACTCAACCCTCTCTCTTTTCCTCCGTACCCAAATCTCTAAAACCGGGGCTGCAACGGAGCTGATTATTATTTCAATTTTTCTGAGAAAAGGGGTGCTCCGCCTATATGGGCAACTCTCCAGCTATCAGGGGAATGAGAGACCGCTCGAAAGCGCTGGAGACGCTGTAGTACATATGCCAGGCCTGTAGGTGGCGCTGTAGTCTGCCACAGAAGCAGAATCAGCCCTTGCAAAAACAGGGCTGGAAAAGAGCAAATAGAGCGAAATGAGGCATGGCTAACATGATCTGTTTGGTATTTTGAAAAAAAAACTTCACAGACGTGTTTTATATAGGTATGGCCCTACAATATATGTTTCAAATATAGCATGATAGGTCCACTTTAAATAATCAGTTGCATTCATTTCGTATGGCTCTATCTGCAGCTTTTCTTATGAGTACATTTCCCCACAGGCCAACAACAGCTTCAACAAAACTATTCCCCTCAAAGAGAAAACCAAACATGCCCTGTTGTCCTGAGAGAAAGTGCAGAAGGAAGCATCCATTAAACTCAGTGTGCTGCTCTGTGATGCTAGCTCAGATACTTGGCATCTCATCTTGGGTGCAAGGTCATCAATGTTTGGGCTCAGGCTCTGAGCGGAGGAGACCCTCAGGATGGAGTGAAGGTGTGAGAGCAATATACCGGAGGGTCAGATCTAATAGGAATTAGAAATGATCCTGCGGGCCGAAATTAAATCCACCACGGGCCTGATTTGGCCCCCGGGCCTTGGGTTTGACACATGTGCTCTAATGTGCCACACAATGTCTATCATGATTCCTGTAGCAAACAACAGAAAGATAGTTTACAATAGTTTTGATCTGCTAATATTCAGTATAGCGCAAACACTATACATCTAAGTAGCTCGGTAAACATGTTACAGGTATGTTCACCTCAGCAAATTGCATGTGTGTGAGTTTACATTGAAGGCAGTGGATATTTTGACGTGTGTTTATTTTTAACTCTTCAGTTTGTAAACAATGAATTTGTGATTGGTCGGTCTCCATACTAAAGCCTGTGTTAAAAGTGAATAGAAACTCTTCTGCCTGGAGGGTAGACAAAGGTCCACAGCGTTGAGATTTAGAAACACAAGTTAAGTTCAAAGTAACAAAAAAAGCTGGAACCATGTTCAGCATCTGTTTCTTGGAAATTGAAGCCAGTGTATTTTTGGACGTGTGTTACTTTAACTCTTTGTTTTGTAAACAATGAATTGTATTTGGGATCGCTCGGGCTCCATACCAAAGCTCATGTTAACAGTTAATAATAACTCTTACTGCCAGCAGGGTAGACAAAGGTCCACAACGTTGAGATTCATAAAAACAAGTTGAGTTAGAGACCAAAGCAATTACCTGTCTGTGTGCTATATAGCTAGCTATTGTTAGCTAACATAAGCTATGTCTAACTACCGAAGTAATTTGCTAATAGTTTAAATAATGCATGATATCTAGATTATGCTTCCTCCCTCATTTCAGTAAAGATCTAACATCTACTGGTCTCTTTGAGCCAAGTGGATAAAGAACATTTGAAGCCAATATTCCCTTTAAATTAATCTTCATAACAGGGCAGTTTTCTGGCATTTCATTTCCGTCTAATGAATCTGAAAGTAAGCGGTTATATAAAATGTAATTGTATGAAGAAATCTCACACTATCTTTTATTGTTGGCTGCAGTCTTTTAAACCCCTGTCACACTGTCCCGAAATTGACACCCGATGGACATACGAATATGGAATTGTGAATTTCGCACGATGATGGCCCGAACCACACACGAAGGCAACATTTACATTACATTTAAGACATACAACTGCAACGAAAGTACCAAAAACAATTATGTTACAGTACTATGATACTGTACTGATATCTTCAGACTTTGTTCTTTACTTTATCCGTCGTTATATGTAGAAAATATTACGTTTTCTCCGTAATGTTGTTTCCATAACAACAACAACTTCCTGTCAACTGTCCTTCAAAATAATATATGATATCCTTTTTAGTTTCACAGAACACAAATTGGGTTATTTACATAATATGTTTGCATGATTTTGTTGAGCAATAAAAAACCCGATGGACACACGATAAAGGAAATGTTCAAATTCGGCTGTGATCGTAGCAACATCGGGCCATTCGTGAGGGCATCTAAGCCATCGTATGACCGCCGGTGGAGTTTCTCAGGCTCCGGCAGCAACTTCGTGAGCGGTGGCAAAATCTTCGGCATGCCAAAAAATTGCCGAAGGACCTTGAGAAGGTTCATTTTCGTGTTGAATTCGTGTGTCAATTTTGCCCTTCGTAAGGCCATCGTGAGGGCATCTTGTTATCATCGGTGCCATCGGGCATTCGCGTCGATCAGAGTGAGGGCGAATGCACCGATGATAACACGAAGATGACACGATTTGACAAGATGCCCTCACGAGTGCCTTACGAAGTTGCCGCTCACAAAGTTGCTGCCGGAGCCTGAGAAACTCCACCGGCGGTCATACGATGCTTAGATGCCCTCACGAATGGCCCGATGTTGCTACGATCACAGCCGAATTTGAACATTTCCTTTATCGTGTGTCCATCGGATGTCAATTTTGGGACAGTGTGACAGGGGCTTAAGAGAAGCGGTCAGATCTACTTCCTGTTCGCCTCCTGGGGAATCAGAAGCTATTTAGAAATGTCTGGCATGAGGGCTGTTTTATACATCTTCCCCTTCTGATTGCAATTAAGATAAAAGCACTCTGCTTTCAACACGCAATGTCTTTGGGCCTGTGTGTCTGTTCGTGTGTGTGAGAGTGTGTGTGTGTGAGAGTGTGTGAGAGTGTGTGTGTGTGAAAGTGTTTCAAGCAGGAGGTGGAAATATGTGTTATTCACTTTGTCAGAAAAAGTCAAGCATTACACAGAAACTGCTGAAGGAAACTAAAGTCAGACCACTTCAGCACTGGGGGAAATGTTAAAAGCCCACTCTGAGTTACTGCCAGGTGTCAACAAAACATTGTTTGTGTGAGATGAACGGCACATCGTCGACATTTACAAAATCTAGGCTGTTTCCACTGCAACCACTTTCTGTGTGAAAATATCTTTACAAGGACGCTGACGGTGAAAGAAGCTCTGCTCATTGTGATGCTCTCTCATGGCTAAAGGTTTACAATAAAGTTGTTTTTCTTGCTTTATTATTGCTACATATTCAATGCAACATCAGAGTGGTGCAAAAACAAAGCCAGGTAACAACTTCCAGTTACCTCGCCTCAAAGTCAACAGATACTAGCTTGAAATAAGGTCTGTGGTTATAACAAGCTAAAGATAAGTTAGCGCTTTGTTTTATGCCAAAATACGTCCGTAAATAACCCACTGGTGAATTAAAAAATGATGGTCGTTAACCAGTGTCTAAATGAGACGACTAAACGTCATCATGCCCATTATTAGCCTCCTTTAGCTTAGCGGTGGTGAGGTGAAGTCATGTGACCGTGCTGTAGTTCCTTTATAGCCCAACATTAGCCGCCTTTAGCTTAGGCGGTGGTGAGGTGAAGTCATGTGACCGTGCTGTAGTTCCTTTATAGCCCAACATTAGCCGCCTTTAGCTTAGCGGTGGTGACGTGAAGTCATGTGACCGTGCTGTAGTTCCTTTATAGCCCAACATTAGCCGCCTTTAGCTTAGCGGTGGTGACGTGAAGTCATGTGACCGTGCTGTAGTTCCTTTATAGCCCAACATTAGCCGCCTTTAGCTTAGCGGTGGTGACGTGAAGTCATGTGACCGTGCTGTAGTTCCTTTATAGCCCAACATTAGCCGCCTTTAGCTTAGCGGTGGTGACGTGAAGTCATGTGACCGTGCTGTAGTTCCTTTATAGCCCAACATTAGCCGCCTTTAGCTTAGCGGTGGTGACGTGAAGTCATGTGACCGTGCTGTAGTTCCTTTATAGCCCAACATTAGCCGCCTTTAGCTTAGCGGTGGTGATGTGAAGTCATGTGACCGTGCTGTAGTTCCTTTATAGCCCAACATTAGCCACCTTTAGCTTAGCGGTGGTGACGTGAAGTCATGTGACCGTGCTGTAGTTCCTTTATAGCCCAACATTAGCCGCCTTTAGCTTAGCGGTGGTGACGTGAAGTCATGTGACCGTGCTGTAGTTCCTTTATAGCCTAGCGTTAGCTTTTAGATTTGTGTGGAGATTATCCTGTTGATCACAACGTGTAAGCATCATAAACAATATACCGAAATCCAATGGGAAAACCCCGCTGGCGTTTGTGGAAGGAACCCTTACGATGCTAACCTCTGGGTTAACTCGCTGTACCACTCTATTTTATCTCTAACAAAATATGTTCTTCATATTGATAAAATATATTATTTAACAGTCTTGCTCATTGATGTGTTACATGGTCCATATGTTTAAAGTATATTCAGTTATAAATACTACTTCCGTTGAACTAAATAACCTGGGTCAGGTTGAAAACCAATGGCAATGCTTTTCCTCTCTTACGTCCTTCACTGAAAACAAGAAACACTTCCCATAACTACTTGGTTTTCAGCGATAAATGAAGGTTGTTTAGCAGAAATACAATCCCTTCCAACCTAACCCTGTCAGACCGTTTTTACTGTAGACTCTGTTGAGATGCTACGACAGCAAAATACTTCTGTTCTTGGTTGCTGTGTGCTGCTGTACCCTATAAAGCATTTGTTTGAACTAAACTACTGAATTTCTTCCTAAAACTTCTCTCTATTTGGTCCCAGCTGGCACCATCTCAGGTGAAGAGATGCCCATCATAGCGAGGACCAACATCAAGGAGCACCGAGACAGTTTCTCCTGTGAGAAGTTCAACTTCAGACTCCACCACAACATCACCTTCTACGTCTACGTCACCAACTTCAGCTGGCCAATCAAGATCCAGGTGAGAGGGGAGGGTACATTACTCTTTATCAACAACATACTACAGGTCTCAGATATATACAGAACATGTCTCTTAAGTGTTTGTCTGAAACACCAAGCATCCCATAATCCCCTCTGTTTCAGCCCTGTTTCCAAAGTGCTGATTCTGTGTCTGTAGCTTTAAATGCTAATGAGCTGCTGCTGGCCACGCCCCTTTGTGAGATGATTGGTTAAAGAGAACACAATGGTGCTCTGGGAGGAGATTCAGGTGATGATTGGCTAATGGGTGCACAAGCCAAAACATCGTTATGACATCATAAAGTGGCAAAATCTGATCAGCTCATTTTCAGACAGGTTTTTATAGAAATGGATCAAAAAGAGAGAGAATCTTTGTTCCTGAAACTTTCAGAGTCTCTTTCCACAGAGGGGACACATGTTGATGAAGAAGAGACATGAAGAAGAGGGGACACATGTTGATGTAGAAGAGACATGGAGAAGAGGGGACACATGTTGATGTAGAAGAGACATGAAGAAGAGGGGACACATGTTGATGTAGAAGAGACATGAAGAGAAGAGGGGACACATGTTGATGTAGAAGAGACATGAAGAAGAGGGGACACATGGTGATGTAGAAGAGACATGAAGAAGAGGGGACACATGGTGATGTAGAAGAGACATGAAGAAGAGGGGACACATGTTGATGTAGAAGAGACATGAGGAAGAGGGGACACATGTTGATGTAGAAGAGACATGAAGAAGAGGGGACACATGGTGATGTAGAAGAGACACGAAGAAGAGGGGACACATGTTGATGTAGAAGAGACATGAAGAAGAGGGGACACATGTTGATGAAGAAGAGGGGACACATGCTGATGTAGAAGAGACATGAAGAAGAGGGGACACATGGTGATGTAGAAGAGACATGAAGAAGAGGGGACACATGTTGATGTAGAAGAGACATGAAGAAGAGGGGACACATGTTGATGTAGAAGAGACATGAAGAAGAGGGGACACATGTTGATGAAGAAGAGACATGAAGAAGTGGGGACACATGCTGATGTAGAAGAGACATGAAGAAGAGGGGACACATGGTGATGTAGAAGAGACATGAAGAAGAGGGGACACATGTTGATGTAGAAGAGACATGAAGAAGAGGGGACACATGTTGATGTAGAAGAGACATGAAGAAGAGGGGACACATGTTGATGTAGAAGAGACATGAAGAAGAGGAGTTTGCATAATAGGTGACCTTTAAGGGTTGCTAAGGATCTCAATCGTTTAATTCACGGAGATTTCTAGAAAAACATCTGTCTCAAAAATAAACAAATGATGGGTTCGTAAAATAAATTAAACATTGCATTTTCTGTCGTCTCTCACAACACAGTCCACTGCTTTGTGCAAGTGCTCCCTATTAGAGTTTACTTAATTTGAATGTTTATTGATTCTTCGCCCACACTGTAAATCACGTTTCCTTTGGGGGTGATAGCTATCCAAGTCAAATAGAACAATACAAGATGCACATATGTCCAGCATAAAACAATATTATAATAATTGTCATGTTCATGGTTGTAGAGGACACACACGATGTCATACATTAATGCAAGAGCTTGGTTTGTTTTGAATGAATTAGCACCCAATGGGATAGCATTGGTAGACAGACACACATAGGCACGTCACACAGATGCCTATTTATTTAATTATGACTTTTGAGATTTGACGGAGCAGGGTGTACTTGTATTAGTTATTTTATTAGAGATGAGTCAGGATGGATGTCTTTTTATCTGCAAACTAAATCTAGCTACAAAATAAATAAAGAACCTGAACTCAAACACTTAAATCTTCCCTAAAAACAGATTTTCATTTTTCATTGAATCGTTTATTTGAATAGGCTCACATTAATGAACACTTGAGACACATAATGCTTCAAGTGTAAATATGCCGGATTTTAGCTTTGAGCTCATTTCCATCCGGAGTCCCTGACATACAACATTTAAGAACCTGACATTTGTAAACATAGCAACAAATAAATACATGATATGCAAAAGAGCAATACAGCATACACAAGTATTTACCACATGGCAGTACACTGTAGCAGCAACGACACATTAAGTGCAAGAGACGATTTAAGAGCTACCTAAAGTGCAAGAGGAGACACCCCTGTGTTAAAGTGCATTTAGCAGCGATTGCACGTCTGTTTGTTTCTCAACCATTCTCTGAGTTGACCTTTGAAGCTTTTGAGAGAGGGACGATCCCGTATCTCAGTTGGGAGGCTGTTCCACAAAGAAGGACATTTTGTCCAAAAGTGGTCCGTCTGCGGTGGACCTCACAGTCTCCTCTGGTTCCTGACCTAGTGCAGCGTCCAGTGTGTTTTCTGTGGATGAAGGGGGGGGGGCAGTCCATGTAGACATTTATAAATAAAACACATACTTTTAAAAGACTTAAAATGGTCAAAACTTAATAAATGGTGTTTCTCCAGGATGGTGCAGAGGTGGTATGAATGAGGCTTTCTGTCAAACACCTGGATAGCTCTCTTGAACAGCTGTTCTCTGGGTTTCAGGTTTGTGGCTCAAGCAAACGACCAGTTTGTCAAACAGTATTCAATGTGGGATAGAATCACAGTGGAGGTCTGACTCTGCAGCTTTGACAGTTAAGAAAGGTCTCATTTGTTTAAAATGATGCAAGTTGAATTTAACGGTATTTGATACTTTCTTAATATGTTTCTTAAAAGTCAAGTTCGAGTCCATTTTGACTCCAAGATACTTGAAGTGCGGGAACAACATATATGTTTTTTCTCATATTTCAAACAATGGCGTCATTTCAAATCCACCCGACTCCAATTGACTCGCTTTAAACAGAGCATTTATGGATCTAACCGTGTGCTTAACGTGACCTAAAGGGCTGTTTTACGGCAATGTAAAACTAAAATGTATTTAATATATCTCACAATCAAACTGATATTCTTTTATTTTAGTAGGTCTTTTTTCGAGTTGGATAAATATAGCTTCAACATTTTAATTGTTGTTGTCTCCGCAACTCCAGCCGTTGATACGCAGTCAAACAGACTATATTTTATTAGTGGAAGCGATGCAATGATTTTTAAATGGATGACATCAATATTGTGAGTCAAGTCGTTGTTTATTTTAAGTAGGTAGACGTGTAATAAGGTGTATATGAATAAAAGACTAAGACAGGGTTAATGGACCTACACTTTGGAGAGAATCTGAAAGCGACGTATCCATTATATTTAATCTCCTGCTACAGAGAGTCAGTTAAGGTGTGTGGATGAAGAAGATAAAGCGTCATCATCACCATAATCATCTCGTCTTCAGGAAATGTCTCCCTGCAGAACATATAGCCCTGACAGGACGCGGAGAATAAACTACTCTGAAACGTGTGTTTGGCAAATCTGCTCTCACATTTAACGATCTGTGAGTTTTTCAATGTCTTCTCCATCAATTATGCAGAGCAGGATTACATCTCCAGGCGGCAGCCACACACACTCTGCATATTCACTCCGAAGCCTTATGATCCATTACATTGAAGTAGACTTTTTTAGCGCTGGTGTTTTAAGGAGACTGTCGTGCAGCGTGGGCTGTGATCGCTGATGGATGGAGTCAAAAAGTGACAGGATGGATGAAATTGGAAGAGAGTTAAGACAAGGCGGCTGGCTAACGGATGTTCACACGGTTAAAACGTCCAGGGTGGAGAAAATGGAGACAGTTTGATTGACAGATGGAGGGAGAAGACTGATAGAGACATGCAGAAGAGGATGGATTAAAGGGAGGATGGAGGAGTAGTATCAGTGTGTAGTGTCTCTACTTTAAAGAGTCCTCTCCTGCTGATGTTCAGGTGTATATCGAGTGTGTAGTGTCTCTACTTTAAGAGTCCCTCTCCTGCTGATGTTCAGGTGTATATCAGTATGTAGTGTCTCTACTTTAAAGAGTCCTCTCCTGCTGATGTTCAGGTGTATATCAGTGTGTAGTGTCTCTACTTTAAAGAGTCCTCTCCTGCTGATGTTCAGGTGTATATCAGTATGTAGTGTCTCTACTTTAAAGAGTCCTCTCCTGCTGATGTTCATGTGTATATCAGTATGTAGTGTCTCTACTTTAAAGAGTCCTCTCCTGCTGATGTTCAGGTGTATATCAGTATGTAGTGTCTCTACTTTAAAGAGTCCTCTCCTGCTGATGTTCAGGTGTATATCAGTATGTAGTGTCTCTACTTTAAAGAGTCCTCTCCTGCTGATGTTCAGGTGTATATCAGTGTGTAGTGTCTCTACTTTAAAGAGTCCTCTCCTGCTGATGTTCAGGTGTATATCAGTATGTAGTGTCTCTACTTTAAAGAGTCCTCTCCTGCTGATGTTCAGGTGTATATCAGTGTGTAGTGTCTCTACTTTAAAGAGTCCTCTCCTGCTGATGTTCAGGTGTATATCAGTATGTAGTGTCTCTACTTTAAAGAGTCCTCTCCTGCTGATGTTCAGGTGTATATCAGTATGTAGTGTCTCTACTTTAAAGAGTCCTCTCCTGCTGATGTTCAGGTGTATATCAGTATGTAGTGTCTCTACTTTAAAGAGTCCTCTCCTGCTGATGTTCAGGTGTATATCAGTTTGTAGTGTCTCTACTTTAAAGAGTCCTCTCCTGCTGATGTTCAGGTGTATATCAGTATGTAGTGTCTCTACTTTAAAGAGTCCTCTCCTGCTGATGTTCAGGTGTATATCAGTATGTAGTGTCTCTACTTTAAAGAGTCCTCTCCTGCTATGTTCAGGTGTATATCAGTATGTAGTGTCTCTACTTAAAGAGTCCTCTCCTGCTGATGTTCAGGTGTATATCAGTATGTAGTGTCTCTACGTTAAAGAGTCCTCTCCTGCTGATGTTTCAGGTGTATATCAGTATGTAGTGTCTCTACTTTAAAGAGTCCTCTCCTGCTGATGTTCAGGTGTATATCAGTATGTAGTGTCTCATACTTTAAAGAGTCCTCTCCTGCTGATGTTCAGGTGTATATCAGTATGTAGTGTCTCTACTTTAA